GCGCAGTGTCCCTGGCTTTATAATCCATGATTGTGCATAGTCCATGGCAAGATGGGCGTTGAAGGTGGCAGTCCTGGCGTTCACTGCACAGCGCGACTCTCGCAGTGGGGATGATCCCCTCCGCTAGCATGTTAACGAAGCTTACTGCTACTTCCGTAAACTTGTTGATGTCGACTGTGCATGCCCTGAACATGTCCCAGTCTACGTCATTGGGCGGGTCGTGTAGCGTAGCTTCTGATTAGACAGACCAGCGTTTCACCTGACTACCTCATCCCTACGTATGTTTTGTTATACTGAAGAATAAGTAAGATGGCGTTGTGGTCAGACTTTCCAAAACCTGGTTGTGAAACAGTTTTGTAGCCCTGCTTGTATGGCGTGTAGGTCCAAGATTCTGTCTGGCCACTGGGCATTGCCATTATGTGTTGCATCATTCTCCCATGTGCTCTTGTGCTGTCCTCATACTGTTCCCTTGCCACTGAGAGTACATTCACCATCTTACAATGCTGTGATTGCAGCCATTCCCCAACTCTCTGTCACAATCAGTGACCATGAGTGCCATTCACAATTTGCATATTAATGATCCTAAACTGAGCTCACAGTCCATTGTTTATTCAGTGGTGCTAGTTTCAGTCATTATGCAAATGTACTCTTTATAAGACTGGGGAAACCTGCAGTCAGCTGAGACTGAAGAACTCACTTGGATGAGTGATGAAACTTTTCTCCCACTGAAAACGTTCAGATGAACAGAATCAACCTTTTGGGATTTTCTTACCTGAATGATTAAGCTTGCTTTAAAATGTTTCTGTTAAAAAACCTGTGTGAACACATCTTTCTCCCAGCAGAATTATTGAAGTGAAACTTTAGCGTTCTGCTGGTGCTACACATCACAAAACGTGTTCTCTCATTAACAGATGTTTGTGCTGTCACTTATTATGAAAATGGACATAACCTGGGTTCAAGCGTCCTCTTTTTCCTTCATCTTTGTTAATTACCATAGATCGTAGTGACCACAAAAGATGTGTCATATAATCCCCATAAAAACAGCATTTTTTATAGAAATGATTATAATACAGATAATTGTCATGTTGAAGAAAAGAAGGAGAGTAGCTCACAAACCCAAAAGGTGGTGGTAATAAACAAATGTTTATTGGTAAAAAGGATATTTACTTGATAAAAAGACCACACTGTGAAAACAAGTGAAAAAGCTGATTTATGAAGTTTCACACTCTATTTTTACCAAGATGTTTGTGTAGGTTGTCAGTCAGCCAGGTCATGGTAATCTAAGGAATTTAAAAAGAAAGCGACCCTTTAATTTACATGGAGACATGGAGCTGCTATTTTTATAATCATCATCATCAT